AGCCCAACGCGGGGCTCGAACCCGCAGCCTTGAGATTAAGAGTCTCACGCTCTACCGATTGAGCTAGCCGGGCTAGTTCGGTGATAGGTCCTTTCTATAAGGTAATGATGAGCCTTTGAATAGGACTGTGGAGAGATTTGGGTGTTGGAGTCCGTGTGCGCATACGGAAAGTCGAGGGATATGTATCCGCTGGTTGAGTCACTTTCCGAAATCAGATAATTATATGGCTCATAATTGTCTTAGTATACTTTTGATACGCGATAATAAGTTGCGTCCGCATGGTGCTGGAATTAGGTGTTGGGGGTATTATTTTTGCTAGTATAGTCGGTCCGTGATAATGAATGATTGATTTGCAAGCTACTAGTGGGTGTTGTGTAGATTCATGTATTGGAGTATTGATTTGAGACACCCGGAATGTCTAGTATATACAATTCAGAACTGAAAACATATGTACAGTGCAACAACGTACATGGCAAGTGTGCATCATGATGGGATATATCGCCGCCGGATATTCTGTAGTTGTGTGCACATAAAGGCATTTAGCCACACCACATATGACCTGCACTTGCAGGTATGGAAAGAGAAGAACAACCAGAACCGGACCAGGGCAAAGAACAAAGCAAAGGATATCATATCACATCATGTCGCAACCATGTATTCGCCAAGCACCGATCATTAACCCGATGTATATGGGCAACCATGTGGATAGCGAAGAAAAGAGTCAAAGTAACAAACGCCGTTACCCATTTATAGGGCACCAATGTAATGGACGACTGTTGTCTATCATAGTTTAGTCCCCTCTCGTCCGCTATCGCTGAGTCTCCGCGGTCGAAGAAAAGCAGTAGACGGGCCAGCGGCGCTACTTGGCCCTGATGCAGAGGCAGGGTTGCTACCGCCATTGGAGTTAGTTGGACGTGCACCTGCTCGCTGGCCCTGATGCAGACGGGGGTTCAGGAGCCATTGCACCTGCATGCGAATGCTGCCCACGGCTGCGTTGGTGTGCGCCATGTCTTCCTTTAAGCGAAGACATTCGTTCATGAGAGCCATGCTGGCGCGGGCGTCTAGATCCGTGATGGCGTTGGAGAGCTGTCCGACCTCCTCGCGGAGAGATTCATGGAGAGAGAGCAGGTAGTTCGTTGTAGTGGCGGTATAGAGGTTGGAGCTGTCGATTTGAGATTGGTCGCTTGTCGAATCTCGTCGACGAGGGGCGTCGGAATTTGTCGGAGAGTCTTGCTCGGCTAGAGTACGAGTCGACTGGGCTAATGTCGATCGGATGTTGGAAATTCCGTCCTCGAAGATCTCGTTCCGCTGTTGAAGGTGGCGGATAGTGAGTTCAAGCGAATCGAGTCGTGCATTCTGGGCTTCAAAATACGGGCCCATGGCTATCAGTGGACAGGTCTGTTCGTGTGTCGTCAAGTCCGCACGCTTCACCTTGACGGGGCAGCCGTATTTCGATGCCGCGCAAGGATGGACAACCTCGGGACAGGAGTCGATGTGTTCTCGTAGTGATTTGCGTAGAACGTTTATCTGGCAGTCGGGACATGTTGTTTTGAGACTCGGGCATAGATCCTTGACATGTTCCTGTGGCAGGACTTAATTAGCAATGTTATAAAGCTTGGAAGCAACATCCATACCTCGTAGTCTTGTTCCGCGACGTACTCGTCGCATCGCAGACAGCGTTGAAGCTCATGCAAGCACCGACCCTCAGAACTGAGGTCCTTCTTCCGGGTCTTCTTGTTGCAAGAGCTATCCGGGCACTTCATGAGCCTGTAGCCACAATACTTGTCGACATGAGACTGAATGTGTCCTCTGGGTATAATCTCCTCGCAGCCTTCATCCTGAAAAGGACATCGCACTTTGATATCATCACACATATTGAGTAGCAGACGAGGCACGTTGAGGTAGACACCCTTCGTTGGGGTCCGGCAAGTAGGACAGGTGAAATCGTCTCGACCGGGGGAAAACGGACTGGGGGAGAACGCAGTGATGGCAGTATTTAGACACTTCTGACAGAAGACATGATCGCACTGAAGGCGCACGGGGCGAACGAAAGGGCAGTGACATATCGGGCACATGAGGTGGTCATCGTAGCTGGAGACCAACTCCAGTGAGCGCAAGTCGACAACTTCGTCTCGGTCGCAGTTCGCCTCCATCGCGAGCGACTCGTCGAGAGTGATGGATGTCATACTCCTAAGCCCCCTTCCCACGCAGGAAGTATTCAGCTTATATTGTCAAGCCACGGGATCGTGCGCCGATCGATGTAGTCCTGCACAGGGGGGTAAGTCTAGAAATGAAGGGACCGACCGTCCAGATGCCACAGGGGTCGGGATGATGAAACAATAGCACAAAGCAAACGCCCATGTATCTCAGAAAGTTACACAGTGGCTGACAGGAAAGTTTGACCAAGAGAAGAACAAAAATTCAGGGGGGGGAGGGTGGCCGCAGGAGGTGGACGTGAGGAAAGTGAGGCCATTGCGGGGGAGAGCAAGAGAGAGAGGAATGAATGTGGATAACCATGAATGACGGCGAGATATGGGAAATGGAGACGATGGCGGCGGAAGCGGCAGATCTGCCGAGAACGAGGCCCTCTGGGTTGTATCCATTCCATCCACCCGGGCTGGTCCTCTGGCTTCAGCAATATCCACTTGATTGCTCCATCATTTGGCAGTCCCTGCGTGGATGTACTGTACTTCTCCCCCTCCCTTCCCTGTCATCTGCAAGTCGCCGCGGTTCCGACATCTCCGCATTGCCTGGGCTTGACCGACGCTAAGACAACCTCACAGCCTTGTCCACCCTCTCCTCTCTCTCCTCATCCGGCTCTTCCCCAATACCATCCTCACGCATATTCAAACACTATCACATCCCTCTCCGCCATGCCAAACCCTTCGCAACTCTTGCTCCTTGCCGATCATATCAAGTTATCGCTCCTCGAACGGCAACGAGCCATCTCGCTCGACCTAGAACCCAACAGTCAAGATGGCGAGATCTCACGCTCCCTCGACTCCTTGAAAGAGGGCATCGATGCCGTGGAATCCGACTGCGCACGACTAGAAGACGCCAACGATGAAAGCGCCACCGAGATGAGAGACCAACTCGACCACCTATACTCCCAGTATCGAGACCTGACATCCCAATTCCGCGGCTCGGATGCCGCAGCAGAGGACGATCCCGTCGAGTTCACCAACATCAAGAAGTCGTCACCGGACCTGAAACAGCCCGTCCCGCAACATCCTTCTTCCAAATCAGTTCGTTTCATGGACAACGCCGCCGAAGAGGACGATCTCAATCGCCGCAACCTTTTCCAGCCATACCGCGACTCGCCCTCCCCACAGGGCGTCGACACATCCGACATGTCCAACCAGCAGGTCTACGATCATCATGAGCAGATCATGCGTGACCAAGACGAGCAGCTAGACCGACTCGGCGAATCCATCGGCCGACAACACCAGCTTAGTATCCAGATCGGGGATGAACTTGAGGGCCATGTCGCGTTGCTGGATGACATGGATGGCCATGTGGAACGGCATCAGGGCCGGTTAGACAAGGCCAAACGCCGACTGGATAAATTTCGGCGAAGTGCGAGTGAGAATTGGAGCATGATGACAATCATCGGATTGATCATCGTCCTCGTCATACTGATCGTCCTGCTCAAGTGACCCTCTCGTATATGACTCTTCTTGTCATGACTTTGTTGTTGTGAGTTCGGGCTTATTACTGTTCTATTGATGATCCCCGAGGGGCGAAATGGCGTTATTTGCGTTGAATTGGAGTTGTCCATACTACTAAGCCATCGGGTTGGTGGAAGGGATCCTGTGGCGTTTACATTAGGTATATTTGCTTGCAGCTTAACACTTTTACAGTCCACCCGGCATCTGTTTCGAATACACTATATATCATTCCTTTGAATTACTCTATAGCAGAACCGAATACAATTTCCTGCTTTTGATACCATAATATAGAAGTAGTAATATATCCCTCAGAAGTACTTCATACAAATGACCCATCATATCACAGTCAGTCCCAATAACTCGTAAGTAAGCCAGCCACCCGACCGAATAAACAAACATGAACAAAAAACAGTATAATTTCATTGCATTCTCAAAACCCATCCCTTAAGTAAGTAGTAGTAGTAGTAAAACAATTTATTGAGTCTTGTTCACGGGCCCATCCCTATTCGGCAACCCTTTCGTCCGTTCCTGCATGGCTCCAAAGTTGTTATCATCACTGTCTACTTCGCCGCGATCGGCCTTGACCTGGTTCATTGAAACAATACAATTAGTATCGTCATCACATCATCGTCACCTTCTGACAAAAAGAAAAAGCAAGTATGTCAAGTTGAGAAAACCTTACCGACGCCTCACTATCACTAGCGATTTCCTGCTTCCATTTGGCCTTGCCTTCCTTGCTGCTCTTTACTTGGTCGTGCTTCTCGGCCTCGTAGATGTTGGCGAGGTCGTCGCGGTCTGGTATTGATTTCAATTATATTAGACAACGTATCCCGGGAGGGTTTGAGTGGGGTTGGTATGGACTGGACTGGACTCACTGTGATCCGACTCCTTCAAGCCTGGACGAGGAATGCTGGTGTGGAGAGCTGCTACTGCTGCTGCAGGAGAGGTGGTGGTGGTGGAGGTGTAGGCGAAGGCAGGGCGGGAGAGGCGGAGGGTAGATGCGCGGATGGGGGCGAGGAAGGACATTTTGGTGGTTGTAGTTGTGTCGTAGTTGTTGTATCTGGATTGAGATTGATGGTGTTGTTAGTCTAATTCTTATTAAATTGAGAGGGATGGATGGTTAGTTATGGGAGAGGTAGGTAGTATGTAGTACGAAGCTATCTCTTCCACACCTAACAACCACCATTCTCGATAAATTGTGCATGGCAGTGTACTTACAATTCTCAAGAAGTAGTTTCAGTAATCCCAACGAGGGATATTTGATAAATGCGTTGATAAGTGGCAATCTCTAGATGTAACTGGATGATAGATAGATAGAAAAGGATGGATAGCGGCGGCCTTATGTACTTGAGTTATTTCTCTCCCCCTCCCCAAGCGAGAACTCCCTTCCAGCTGCCAATCATCAATTCCAGGGAAAAGAGAGTCCCGTTCGACCTCGGGTGAATCAGTTGGCAGCCATTACTCAATGCCAGTTTTGGGACGAATTGCTGGCTGTAGTAGCGGTGACGTCATGGAGTCTGTTGCGTCCCGGGATGTAGTCTACGGAGTAAGTATCTCCATCCTCCGTTCTAATCTACGGGGTGGATGTGATACTTTTGGTTGATTTATGAAGAGACTGTTTTCATTAATTAGTATGGTATTTGCTTATGCTGATTTTGTAGTATAAGTAAAGAGAGGAAATTGAATGCTGTCTTCGGAGAAAGTGTTGCTGGATGCAAGAGACTTCAATGTCTTCCAGGTTCGAGGCCGCAAATCAAGGATATGACATCACGTACTTTGACCACTCCTCCTATGTATGCCATTACAACCAGATAAGTAGGGGATCACCACATGAGTGAGGAAGAGACCATCTTAATATTGTACTGCTTTCTCATCATTTGAATGTATTCGCTGCATTCAGATGCTCCCAATGCTTTGTTTCGTGAACGTTGTGGGTTGGTTCACACCCGTTACAGGGCCTACGAATATATACTATCCGCCTGAGCCTCTGAACAGCATCGAGCGTCGACCATTCAACGCCAACTAAATAACGGCAATCTGATAACCATTATTTCATCAAAAGCCAGCCGTTGCGATAGCAACCGTTGTGCTCTATTGCCCCTCAATCTGCAACCTGCATGATACGATATCACCCCAGATTATGAGGTCATTTGGCGGATTTCTACAACGCTGCACTTATCACCAAATTACTATCATCCCTACATCTACTGTTGGAAAGTCTCACGACTGAATGGAGTCCAAAGCTAATTTCACAACTATGTATAGGCATTACCCCCCATAGTTCCAGCCAATAAGCGTATAGACAAAGGAGATATGGTAAGAGACGGAATACCCAAGAAGCGAACAGAATCAGGAAGATCATACACTGCATCACATTCTCCAGGAGTCCCCAGGAGTCGAAGAACATGACTTTAAGAAAACATCCGAACGAATCAACGTGGAGGCGAACAGAAGCGAATTATGTCGTCAACTGACAACTCCCATCAAGACAGTGGTCTATCTCGCGAAAGAAGGCGAGTGTGACCCCCAGCAAAAATCAGGAAATAAAGAAAAACTCCTCATCCAATCCATGGATTTTCACAGCCAGTTGACCTGAAAAGTAACAAGCACCGCGTGTCACCAATTCCCCAACCAACCCATATACATGGTATAACAAACAGAATTTTTCAAGAAATGAAAACATATGCGAAGTGTAGGTCGAAACCAGCCAAACATCCCAAACAACTCAGCAAAGCCCAATCAATGCAGACGTATATATCGTTTCCGCCTTTCTAAATCCCTGAAAAGCATGAGAAAATGATCCATCCCACCCAAAAATCTGACAAAACACCAAGCCGAAAAGATGAGGTATAACCGCCAACAGCAAACCTGGCATAGCCGCCGTGGGAAACCAAAAAAGCAACTCCGGTCCATAGATGCGCGCCTGAATGGCCGATCGCCGCGCTTTCTATACATCATCGCGGCCAAAACTCGAGGTCAAAGCACAAAAGGGTTTCCCTAACCGTAAGATAAAAACAAGGTATCGTTTGAGGTGGAATGCAAAAATCGAATATCGCAGGCGCCGTCGCTCGCAGGAAGCCGAAAGCATCAGTCTAGGTATAAGTTGCTCGAGTCGTCATCGAAGTAAGGTGTATATACAGAGAAACACTGGTTTATCCTTTGCTGTTTTTGCGCTCGTGAAGCCAAAAAAAGGAGAAGGGAAGATCAGTCGAATCGTAAGAATGCGATGGCCGTGTCGAACAGAAAGCAAAACAAAGCAGTAACAATTATAACCCGCGGTTAGGGAGCCCGATGATGCAGAAGCCGGACGAGCGTGGTAAACATGCTATGAGCCTAAGCGGCCCTTTGCCGAATGGAACGGCGACTTGCCAGAATCGCGGTCCTCACCACCGGCGTTGGGCATTCTGCATCGAGGCCGGGGAGATCGACGTGGGCGGGCTCGTCAAGGTCATGCCAGTATTGGGGTTGACGATCGGGATAACCTTGCGGGTGCGGACTGCGGACGGTTGCTGGAAGTTCACGTGATTAAGATTACCGCTAACCCCTGAGTGAACATAGGAGTTGCTGGAGGCAGGAGACAGGGAGATGGAGGGGGTGACCTGCTGGACAGGCTGGATTTGATGCTGGAGAGGAGAGGTATCGGGAGATCCACTGGAGAGAGATGACCGATCCGAGGAAGCAGAGTGAATGGAGTGCAGCTGTAAATCAGGGGGTCAACAAGCTGTTCCATTAAAGTACGGGGTCGGCAGCCAAGATATCCGTAGTACGAACGGCTGGAGAGAGAGGGAGGGAGTGCTAGGCCGGGTTCGACAAACATACATCATCTTCCGTCAGGAGACTGGGGCAAAACTCCAGGTCGTCATCCAGGTCAAAAGACCGTCCAGCTTCGAAACGGGCACGGAAAGCAGTCACAGCAGGGGCCTCAGCAAGCTCCCGCATGCTCTTGACACCTCTGAACTGGCGCTGAGCATTCTGGGCAGCCATCTTAGGTCCCCGACGGGAACGACCCCCATGGTGGTTGTTTGAGTTGGCCATGTGGGCGGCAGCACCGTGGTGAGGGTGTTGCTGGTGCTGGTGCTGTTGCTGGTGACCGTAGAAGAACGTAGACATTTTGTTGTGTGGTTGTGGCGAAACGAACGCAACAAAAGGTAAAGCGAAGTTATATCGGTAGGAAGGGTATGCTGAGGAATTCGAGGGCGGATATAAACAAAGACCAGCGCTCAGGAATCCCGACAGTACGCAACTCCGGACGGACTAGAGTAACAAAGAAAAGAGACGGAGTAAGGTGGAAGAATGACAAGCGGTCGGACGGAATGCAGAGTGCGGAAGCAGGAAAAGCGGGTTTGAAATAAGGAAGAAAAAGAGACGATTGTGGGAGTGCAGATGGGTAGAGAGATAATGGGAAGTGAATGCGAGAGTGAAAGTGTAAGAGATCGGGGGGCGGGCGAATTTGCGATTAGTGTTGTGGGATGGGGAATCATCAACGGATGGCGGGACAAGAGTTGAAAAGAAGACCGGGAGCGAGAAAAGAGTCGCAGCGCCCGGAGCGGACGGAGGCGAGAGACTGAGAGCAAGAGGGGCTGCAGTTGTGATTCGACTGGGGCTGAGCAAAAGTGCACGTCGGTGGAGATCCGCAAGGGAACATACGTGACCCGTACTTACCACACACACACAGCCTTTTCCTACCGGTGGCATCCACGAGTATGGAGGGAGTGAAAGGACATTACTGGTTACAAGTGGTTCCCTCGCCGAGGCGCCTGTAAAGTATCCGTGGTATCGTCTGTAAGTCTGTAACGTCCTAGTCCCAGATTTCCCGCGCTAACCTGGTCACGCACCCAGTTTTAGGGCAGGGTGAGGACCAACCAGATCCCTGTCAATGGATCCTCAGTGGCAAGTTAATGCCCCGATATCCAATCACATCCCCCTGTAGTGGGCTCATGGCAGCCACCGTCAGTTGAGCCAATAAAACACCGAATTTGACTGCTCTAATCGGCTACCAAGCGGGTCTTAGTGACGTCGAAAGGAAGCGATCTAGTCCCCTTCAGGAATGGAACGGCGCACCCTCTCCCTTGACGCCTAATATATGGGTGTACTCGATCTAACCGTGACGAGTGCAAGCGGCTGTCGGATGAAGACCGGGTCTCAGCCTGGACTTTAAGGCTGTATTACCGTCATGAACAGCCCGCGAGTATTACAGATGATGGTGCAATGATGCCTACTTACATACACTCATTAATTGTATGATGCAGACTGCCGTTAGATAGAGAACACTGTCTGTACAGACCTATGGATCTGCACTGCTAATGGAGTATCAATCGATCCATCTCGCCCACCAGCGGATGCATGGATGATGACGATGGCAATGGCAAAGAACATCGTGGCAATGCTCTGTAGTGGCTCTCTCTCTGTGTTGGGTCGTTTTCAAGGTCACCAGGAGGATCCTTCCCGTCGTACCTGTACCTCGTCAGGTATCGAACCCCCAATCACTTCGTGTTCAGAAAGGGAAAAGGGCAGGTAAGAGGGAGTACACAGTAGTAGTATGTGGCTCCCACTTCCGAAGACAGGCATGCGCTGGCAAGCAGGCAAAATGCCCACTACGACACCTGCGGGTAATGATTTGCAAAAAATGTGGTGAGCCCCACCGGACTAGCTACCCTCTTTTTCGTTGCTGTTATTCTCGGTACCTTTCCCTTGAACCGTGCCACTTGGTCTCGTCGGGGGGCGCTCCTTTTCCATTCTAAGCCTACCTACTATTGCCGTTTACCCATTATCTCCTCCCCTAATTTGTCTTCAACTTTCAGGGAGAGGCGCCCTCCTTAGAGTGGGCGGGCGGGACTCGGGCCATCTTACTTTGTCATTTCCCCCCAACCATTGAAGATTGTCATTAACTAATGAGATTAATAACGGGCAGCTCCTGCCATGGTCACCCTTCGACGGCTTCGACAAGTATTCCATAACAGAAATTAATCCTCCACTTCAATATCTGGATCTTCTCCATTTTGAGCGGATAGTCAGCTGAAACTATTGTCAGTAGTACTTTCGGACCAGAAATATATTACGGAATAATAATAAATAAACAAATGATTTTCTCGTTTAGGATTTATGCCCATATAGGCACTGTTTGTTTTTGAGTCCCTCTTCTTCATTCATCTCAGAAATCAATCAGGTACGGAGAACGCCGTCAACAAAGGAACCGAATCTTGAACTGGGCTTGGCTGCTCTGCATTGTTAAGGATCTGCTCCCTGTCTTCCCATCCATCCACATGGGGCAAGCGCTACGACCACTGCATGGCCCTGCACCTTCCTCCATGCAGTAAACGTTCACAAGAATAGCAGCAATGTAGATTTTAGTATCCTCCGTAAACCCATCTGCTGTCACGACACATAGGTGTACTTCATTATCTACAGTACGTACTCGATACCAATAAACGCAGAACAAGTTTGCGGTCTGTCTTCCCCGACGCCTGGACCCTCCAGTGCACACGCTAAACCCAGGGGTTGAAACGTCGTATCACTGGTCAACGGTAGCGTAAATGCAGGATGGGGATGCATCTAGGGGAAGAGGAGGGGGGAAGGGAACAGACCGATAGGAATGATGGCGGCTACTGGAACAGCCATGGCAGCATAATATATTATGGATCGGGCTTAGAACGCATGCTAGCAGGGTCACAGCTACTCCAAACCTGCAGACTACTGCAGGATGCAGTCCCGAGGGTAGGTAGGAGGAACGTACACACTCTCAAGCGACCTGGGATGGAATGGGGGCGCTTTCTTGTCTGCACAAGCGATTGGGCATTACTAGCCATGGATGCCAGAGTGGTATTCTCAGTTCTCACTCTTTTCTCCCGTGTCCAAACTGTGCTAACTAAACCTGCTGGGAAGCCAGCCCCCCCCCCCCATGAGACATGATTTCTGATCCCATTCGGCAAGATAATGTCCCTGCTAAGATCTGACCACCTCACCGCCCTTTCGGTAGATGGGGAATGCAACGCAGTCTGGAGTTGCCCCTCTCGGGACCAGGAACCTTGTTGTATGATCTTCATCTCATGATAGGTGCATCTCGATGCCCAAGGCAGGGGCGCACTGAGAAAAATCCGGTAGAGTCACTGGATCATGCTTATGGGGGATGATCCATACAGCAAGTAAGTTTTGCCGATAACTACTAAGTAGGTAGCCTCGAGGCATCCGATGCCGCTACTAACTATGATCGGACTCTTTCCATCCCTGCCGTATGTATGGTATTCTTGGTATTGAATTGGTATTTCTCTCTTACCAGATTTCATACAAACACCCCTGTTGGGAGGAATGTCTTGCAGCGCTATGAAGAAAAGGCCTAGATACACAGCCCGCAACACGGCCTGGAGTGTACACAAGTATACGTACATGGCTTGATGGGCGGGGGGCCGTGAAGCGGGATCTGCTGCACTCCAGACGCCATTTCCGGAATATTTGTTGATCTCGCCTGTGTATAGGACGATAGTCCTTGTCCATCCGTCTCGGGGGGTAGATACTCGCCCCTCAACAACAAGACTGGAGTTGTGCGCAAGTGTATCTCCGCCCACATACGTACCCCGAAGCAAGGGATATGAGACACGATCTTCCTGCCTAGTCTGGCCAACGGTCTCAGGAAGCGCCCATGTTGCATTAGAGGTGTCCAATAAACGACATCATATTCTCAGTTGCTGAAAGGGATCTGAGTTGTAGCGTTCATGTATGTATGGATCTATCAGCGAAGCAGAACAGAGTGCATGGCTGAAGTGGTACCTGTGTCACGCCTGCAAACGGGAGAGTAAATTGAGATTATTAACGGGGTCAACTCGGACTGAAACTCAATTGAAATAGCTTTCCAGTTTCGAGGGATAAACCTTGTAAGCCCCAGGCCAAATTGTCAATACTAGTGCTTGACTGAACTGCGTGATCGGTTCCCCGTGCAAGATTGATTCTCAACTAGTGGTAGAGTAGATAGAGAGAAGAGAAAAGCTTGAAGGTTACATACTACATTCAACGGATATACCCGATACATCCATCCACCATGATAATCTTGTAGCATAATAGCGTCACACAGAAGCCCGATTCACCCAAACAAAGTGGTTAGTCACTATCTAAATCTCGTACAGTACTTACACAGTCGAATTGACATCCACCCAAGCATAACATACATACATCCCTTCGATCCTCCCACCCTCCCCGTCCCTAGCTACGTAGTAGCTATCCAGGCTTAAGTACCACCACATGCCAGAATGCAAATTCCCCACGCATTCCAGAATCTTCCTCTAGGAACAAACCAGGACTTGCATACATACATCCTTGTAAACGAGCGTATGTATGTATGTATGTATGTAAGTAATAATTAGAATTAGATACCATCGGCATGCAACAAGGGCACTAACTACTAGTGACTGCGTAAACACTACTGCAAACAGCTAGCTAGATAGAACTTACCTTGGTAGAACTGAAAGTCAAATCATACATGCCGTTCAACATTGGCTTGCTTACTGACTGACTCAGAGGGAGGAATTCCACACATTCTGACAGCTGGGTAGTACGGACTGTAGGCACTAGGCAGGTACCGATGCAGGAGAAGAGGTAAAGGGGTGACCTTTTGCAATTGTTTGTTATTGGGTTCTTACGGGGTCTTGGTGGTGGGGATTTGGGAAGCTTGGTTTGTGGGTGGGTATGTGTTAGGGAGTAGCGCTTCGATGGGGTGTTGTATGCTAGTGGGATAGTATGAATTGCATGGAATTCGTGGCTTACAGGTGGGATAAATAGTACGGTTGCTTCATGTGTAGATGTTGAAGGCGGCTACCGACATGCGGGATATTCAGTCTGGTCCCGAGGGAGGACGGGCGTTTGTGTCTCTGAAAACTGTTTGTTCGCTATGATATATCTATAGTATCTCATTATATTCTCCATGGCATCCACTTGGACTATGCGATAATGCAACTGATTTGAAACAATCTGCAACCAGCCGATGCCCGAAATATGGATCTGAAAAACCAGTATCGCTCGCGCATGACATGCTTTCGTAATAACATGACTGGACCCCTTGAACGCCGCTTGAAAACCCTATGTATGTGCATGAGAGATGTATGTTCATTTGTCCAGATTCTTGCTCTTCACCATCCGTCCCAGAAGCTCTTTGCAATGCTTCTCGCTATATTGCTCCCACACCTCGTACAGCGACACCAACTCTTGAGTACACTCTATGACGGCTTTGATGTCCACTTCACTCTCGGCAAGCCATCCTATAAGTCGCTGAATGCGGGGAGGAGGGCCGTTGCCGCCCTTCTCTCCCAATGCGGCAAGAATGTTCATGCCGCCGTCGCGCATCGCGCTGGCTAGTGGTGCTGCTGACCCGTGAAAGCTCGTCTGGCTGGGCTTGAAGACCACGGCGACGATAATCGCCATGACAGCGATGACGTGAGGCGGATATAAGAGCGGCAGGTCGGTGAGATAGTGGTCATTGATTACAGACCACGCGAGAGCAACTTCATCTGACGTAAGTGACAGCTCGGGTTGAAGTTCGGATAATGTTCGATATGGATGGTGCACAATAAGCTGAGAGTTCATCTCCGATATAAGAGAGAACTCGCATTCCCCTAGTTTTGAAACATCTGGGGCAATAAACTCTGTAGCCACGTCAGCGGGAAGCGCACAGGGTGCATATATGCGAGTGATCCGTACCTGGCCAGAGACCTCTAGCCTCTCCAACGACGAATCGAATATGTTGAGGGCATTCTTCCATTTTACAAGCCAGATAGAAGGCAGTAGTGACGACAAGATACGGGTTTGTATGTCTAATCTCGTTCTTAGTGTAGAACCTCTTGACATAGACTTGCGCTGTCGCAAGTGCTTGTTGTCGAGTAGACATCCGTTTCCCCAGTTTGATGAGTTCTGTTGGCCTGGTGAGCTTGGATGCTCACCGATATAGGGTATGTACTATAATTATCTTACGTTGGCTGAAGTAGATGTTCAGCAACCTCTGATCCGGCAGAGGAAACTGACTATGAGCGACCATGTCCCGCTCTCTAAAATTCTCCCGAATCTCTGCCAACTTCTCTCTCGTGAAGAGCCAGTGTCGGCGTTGAGTTGATGCCCAGTAATTAGCAGCCATTGTTGGGAGTCTAGCGGGAAGAGGGGTATCGTATGGGGGATTAATCTAGTATAGAAGAGGTAGCAACAGCCACCATAGTGCTTTTCCCTTTGGGCCTAAGAGGTGCTGGATGGGTACAAGATTATCCAGTTGGCTTTGGGCATCCGGGAGGGGGTTGTAGAAGTGTGGCTGGTATGGTATACGACCCACTAGTTCAAGACAGCTGGAAGATGAACCGATGAGGGAGGTAACAGCCTGAATCAAGGCAACACATACCCCTTTTCAGCGATCGGAGTGAAGATGAGGTTTGATGTTGTGCAGGTCGGAGATGGGACTCCGAAGGGGCCGAACTGGAGGCAAGACTGAAAGGCGGGAGTGAAAGGCGCCTAAACGGGAATAGCCGGAAGATTTGGTGACGACCGGGCCGGGGTCTAGTTTTCTTCCGGTTCATGTCGTAAGGAAAGCAAATCATCGCGCCTGGATTTCTCACGGCTGTCGGCCTCACCCCAGCTGACCTTGAATCGACAATCATGAACGCCGGATTAACACTTCGTTCATAATTTCACCCGCCAGTGATTTTCGATGCCCAAATTATTCACTCACCTTCACTTTCTGCCCTGCTGCGACAGGGAATCTCTCCTCTTCAAATCCGCCGACCCCTCCTTAAAAAAATAATGACGCAGTTGTGATAAGAATCACTTTTCACCGAACATGGACACTGGCGAGTCGCAAAAAGATCGGGACCAGAGAGTCGCCCAACTCTGGCAGCGCTTGGATACCAAGGGTGAAGGTCATCTTGACTTCAATGGTCTAAAGAAAGGACTAAAAAAGATCGATCACCGTAAGTCACGATCTTGACATGATCCCGTGCGGCTCGGTGCAGATGACCTGACGGCTTGAGATGCAACAGCACTCAAGAATGCGGACCCTATGTTACGCGATATCATCAAGGCAGTGGATACCAACGGGGATGGCTACATAGATTATCCTGGTAAGATCATGCGTCGCACCCCCATAGCGTCTCATATCCTCCTTAGTGTCACTGGCTATAGACGCCAGTCGTTTTTCCAACCTAATGTTCACCAGAATTCCGGACCTTCGTGGATCATACCGAAATCGGCCTCTGGCAACTGTTCGAGAGCATAGACCATAATCACAACGGCGAAATCGATAAGAATGAGCTCAAGACCGCTTTTTCGAAATCCGGGGTCACGGTCTCCAACGCAAGGCTGGAAGAATTCTTCGCGGAGGTCGATAGCAATAAAGATGGCGTCATCTCGTATGCGGAGTGGAGGTACGTACTATGGCGGTCAGCTGAAGGTGTCTGGAGTCTCCAGCTAATGACCTGTTGGTATCCAGGGATTTTCTTCTTTTCCTGCCGGCCTACTCGTCCTCTAACCTCCGCGCTGTCTTGTCATACTACACCGCCACGGGAAATCTTAACCCGGAAGGAGATGTCCACATCAATGATCTGCAGGGCTTAGGTACAGACCACTCGTTTCTTAAACGTTATATCTTGGCCTTACAGAACCTCCTCTCCAACGTTTTCCCAGTGCACATTTTGACACTCTTGATTCCTTCAGCCTACGCGGAAGCTACCGGCGTGTCCAAGGTTGGGGTCGCGTTTGAGGATGACTCTACACCCTTAGACAATGACCTGGAATTGGAGTGGTTGCCCATACCCAGGATCGTCGCCATGTGGATGTCCTTCCGATATTATGAACAGAAGTTGACCGAAAGCACTCCTCAATTAGGTTACTTCGTTGCCGGTGGTATCGCAGGCGCAGTGTCCAGGACAGCGACCGCACCCTTAGACCGACTAAAGGTCTATCTCATTGCTCAGACCGGCGTGAAAACTTCAGCTGTCCGCGCAGCGAAGGATGGCGCTCCTTTGCGTGCAGCGGGGAAGGCGTCGAAAACCCTCGTCGAAGCTGTGAAAGATCTGTGGCGTGCGGGCGGTATCCGGAGTCTATTCGCAGGTAATACTCTTCGTTACTTATGTTATGACATATTTCTCACTGTCACAGGCAACGGTCTGAACGTTGTAAAAGTCATGCCCGAGTCAGCCATCAAGTTCGGTGCTTATGAAGTGAGTTAACTGCTCGATGCAACCCAAATTTGTCTTCATGTGACTGACGTGCGACAGTCTGCAAAACGTGCTTTCGCCCGCCTGGAGGGCCATGGTGACCCCAAACGCCTCATGCCTGTATCGCAGTTCCTGTCCGGAGGCTGCGGTGGAATGGTTGCACAGTACGTCGCAGTAGCATACTTCCATCAATATAGCCGATCTAACGCATATGCAGGTGCTTCGTCTACCCTCTTGATACCTTGAAGTTGTAAGTCATGTCCTCAGCCATTGGTATCCTTCGCTCGTTCTACGAAACTAACTTTCTATTAGTCGCATGCAGTGTGACACCGTCGAAGGTGGCCTGAAGGGAAACCAGCTCATCGCAGCTACGTTCAAAAAGGTATGGTGCAAGCACGGCTTACTTGGCTTTTTCCGTGGCTTGCCACTTGGTCTTGTTGGCATGTTTCCTTACGCTGCCATCGATCTGTCTACTTTCGAATACATGAAGCGAGCCTTAATAGCGCGGAAAGCTCGCCTGAACAATTGTCATGAGGACGACGTGCCCCTGAACAACTTCACCACCGGAGCGATTGGTGCTATGAGTGGAGGATTTGGCGCTTCGGTTGTCTATCCACTCAACGTTCTCAGGACGAGAATGCAAGCCCAGGGCACCGTTCTGCATCCCGCGACCTACAACGGCATTGGAGACGTCGCTCGCAAGACTATACAGACCGAAGGACTGCGTGGCTTTTACAAAGGGCTGACGCCGAATCTTCTCAAGGTCGCGCCTGCGGTGTCCATCAGCTATGTCGTCTATGAAAATTCGAAGCGGATGCTCGGGTTGAAATAGACGGCTTTAGCAGAACAAGTCTCGGGGTCTTACCGCTCAGACAAAGTTGGCTGTATTGATGCCGTGGCTTGGAACTTTACCAGTTGTTTCGCCATATTCTCGCATTTTCTTCTACTTACCACCGTTTTTAGACATTGTGTTTGAGATACCCATAATGCCCCCACGGGCACATCGACATCTCTCTAGGGCGATAATGTGGATCTGTCCTTTGTCCACACACCACTCCCCGTCAGAGATCCCCGTCCCTCTTTTTTATTGCTGCATCTTTCTCGCTGAACAGCCCGATGGCTTTGACTACTTCTCACTCATTGCTGGCATTGTGAAATCTACATACTATTTCACTTGGATAACCAGCTTCCCCACGGATTGGGAGAGTCGCATGACCGGCTTGACTAGCATGGCAGGGCGTCGCGCGACAAAGCATTGCTATGGAGTTTCACATTGCTTTTGTCTTCTGTACATTGAATTTCATGGGGGGTGTCGCCGGGGTGGACTGTTTTTCTTTTTTTCATTTACCTTTTTTCCCTTAATTGTACGTAGGGTCATACCTCACACCGCACTTGCTGCGTCGATACATGGATATAGAGAGATACATAGCTTGCACATTCAGCTGAAATAAAACTACTTGCATATTTGCAAATGATACCAAAGACCTTACAGTATTATTAACATCAACATATCCTAAATCCACCAAAGAACTCCCCCTAAGCACCCTTAACAGCCCTAACCTCCTCATCCTTGGGCAAAACATCCGGCAACGGCCCAACCGGGGTAATCGCAAACTGATTAATCTGCTTATGACTCTTGGTATAGTGGAACTTGATATGCTCAAAGTTCGTCGTCTCCTTAAAAGCCGGCACATCCCAATACAACTTCCTCATCCAGCGATGAATAGCCGGGTACCCGGACCGAATATCCCGAATATTGCACTTAAAGTGCTGCACATAGACCGGATCAAAGCGAATGATTGTCGTGAACAGACGAATATCCGCCTCCGTGATCTCCGAGCCGAAGAAGTACGGTGCGTTCTTCGAGTCCGACAGATGAGCCTCGATCTTGTCGAGAGAGGAGAACAATGTCGTGACGGCTTTCTCGTATGCTTCTTGCGTGGTGGCGAAGCCGGACTTGTAGACGCCGTTGTTGACGTCGTTGTAGATCCATTCGTTGGAGGAGTCAATCTCCGTGCGGAGGGACGAGGGGAATAGGTCGATGGATTTGTAAGGTTCCGGGAGAAGGTCATCGAATTCGTAGTAGAGCATGCGGATGATTTCGGCGCTCTGGTTTTTGTCGGAGGAAGATTAACGCTTTGCACTCTGCTTGGGTGGGAAGAGGGGGTGATGTGCTTACCTCGTTGCTTACGATGCGGTTGGTTTTCTTGTCGAATAGGACGGGGACGGTGAACCGGCCGGTGTAGTCGGGGTCATTGGAAAAGTAGATTTCGCGCAGGTGGGTGTAGTCGTGTAGAGGGTCTGTGGTGACATTTTCTTCGGGTTGTTGTTCTTCAGCGGTTGCGAAGCGCCAGCCTGTTGTTTGATTCTGTGAGTGTTTTTTGGTCGGATTGCTCAACGTGTGTGTGTGTGTGTGAAAACTAACCCTTTTCTCCTAGGTGCCAGTGGACTGAGGTGAAGGAGATGATATCCTCAAGACCCTTGAGCTTGCGCGTGATCAAAGTCCGGTGGGCTGTGCGAGGGATTGCGGCGTTAGTATGTTGATAATTAGCTCCGGAGGAAGAAAGAGAAACGCACCCCAAGGACAGGCGTAAGAGACGTAGAGGTGATAACGGCCCTTCTCGGGAGGGAATTGAGCGCCAGGCTCTCTGGAGATCCAGTTGCGGAAGACTGACGTCTGGCGCTTGAACTCGCCCGACTTGTCATTGGGATTGACCCAGTCTGTGATCTTGCCGCTGTTACCTGTCTGGATGAGCGCAGATTGTTAGTTAAGGAGGTTTGATACTATTTAGCGAAACAGCTGAATTGGTAGTGACTTACAGCCATGGTGCGTGCTGGATTCAAGATAGGCTGTGCGGGGAAGAAAGAGCTTCTGCAGGTAGCTGGATGTGAAAAGCGGGAGATAGCTTTGGGTTGCAAGATATGTTGCGAGACTTGTCGAAGTCGATGGAGAGCGGGAAACATGAGGAACAATGGCAATGGCAAGGAGGGGCAGGGAGCTCGTTCATATACAAAAAGTAGGACGAGGCGATACGAGGCCAGACGCTGACCGATGGGGTGCGGGGAGCCAATGACGTGATGTTTTGCTTACAGCATTGCTTACGGAGGCGTTAATAGTTAGTTAACGTAATCCACGGTTAGGTGGCCCACTACGGTTAGGTGGCCCATCCCATCAAAAACACCATCTCAAATTCCTATCTGAAGCCATTCAACCATTACAATGCCACCAAAAACATCTATCTCATTAAAAATACAGGTAGAACAGGAAGATAGGATTCTTCTTACTATTAAGACTATTCAGAAAGACTAAATTACTAATATTTACAAGACAGTATATATTTATAATATTCCTTGAACCACTCTCCGCAATTAATTATCTGGACATGATTTTACTTAAGATATAATTTATAAATATTAAAAATTATTAAAAAACAAGAAAAATTTATTTATTAAATAAATTCTATCTTTAAATAAGTAAGATACAAGTCCCTGACTACTTAATATTAGAAATATAATTAATATAATTCTATTTAAACAAGATCATATAACTCCTAAAGAAATAGATATTAACTGGACCTATAATTTTATTAAATATTATAAGATTCTCTGTATCCATTATACTAGATAATACAACTATCAAAGAACTAGAATAGAGAATCTTAAAATTATAAAAAACTAATTTAATCAGATCCAGGAGGTTATACAAGAGTATAAAATTTTATCAGATAATATTTATAATTTTAATAAAACAGGATTTACTATAAATATTATTACTATAATTAAAATAATAACTAATTTCCAGAAAGCTAGCTGGCCGTCTCTAATTTAACCAGGAAATTAGGAATAGATTACTTTAATTAAATATATTTAATCTAATAGAATAATTTTATCTTCAATTCTAATTTTTAAGAATAAAATATAT